TTTTTTTTTTTTTTTTTTTTTAAACAATGGAATAATTGTGCATCAATACCCTCTCAGGACCTGTAACATATTGCCATTGTTAGAATTTATCTATGTATTTTCTTTAATTTCTAAGTTTAATGTTGGAGCAAAAACAATTACTGCAACAAATTTGTGCTTCAGTTTCGTTCTCCATCCCTGGAGCCAGTTTGATGCTGGGAACTGGAGGCGATTCCCGGCTGTGTTCCTGCTGAGCTTTTCCACGCATGTCCCACTGGAAGGAGCGCCCAGAGCAAAGCCACGATGCTTAAGGGACCCCTGAGGAGGAAACAGACGCTGTACCTACTGAGATGGATGTCATGATTTCCTTTGTGGATCTGTTGGTGCCATTTTTAGTATCATAACAGCTTTAGTTTAAATCATCCGAGATTTGAACAGATATGCGCAGCACAAACAGGGCTTGAGTAAATATCTCAAGTTTATTTACTTGAAATATTTACTGTTTGATTTGTTTAATTTCATTGATTGAATTACGTATTTTTGCTTCCATCAAACAATCAACCAACACCAAATGATAAACAACTGAGGTTCTACAAATAGACACCATAACGACACTTCACTATTTTTCTGTTATTTTTTTGTTTTGTTTTGTTTTTTTTCTGGAAAAATTAGATTTAACTTCCTCAAATAACACTAAAAGTAGCAGTCTTTTTTTTATTTAGCTCTGCCTAAATAAAAATGGCTTTAGGCTGAAAACTATGTGAAAAAATTAACATTCCATATATGAAAATGTTTCTGAATCTTGTAGAAAAACTCTTTAAAAAATCAAAATAAAATGGGTGATTTGTTAAATTTAAAACAGATATTCTGTAATAGAAATACATTTTTTTTAAAAATGATCATTTAAAAATACGTGCGGCTCTTAAACCAGTTTTATTTCGCTGGACTAATTGCAGAAATGGCTCTTTGGATTGTAAAGGTTGCAGATTCTTGACAAACCAAGCTGGATGATAATCCAAGTTTATCTTGACACCACACAGGATATTAAAAAATCTCCAAACCTCCATGTGATGAATCTAGAGCACACAGTCACATAATCTCCCTAACCACCATTTATTTTAAGGCTCATGTGGAAATCCTTAGCCGGCGTACAAATACAGTATATACTTACTGTATTTCATACCTTAAAATCAGTCAAAAACATATAAAACATATTTTTTTCTCTTGACATTTAATATCATTTGAAAAAAAATGGTTCATAATGCTGTGAAAGAAAACTTTCCATTTCGGTAGTTGTGTGGTTTTTTTTTTTTTGTTTGTTTTTTTAGAGGGATGAGTGGGAAATAAAACAATACATTTGTGTAAAGACAATAAATGTAGCTTTGCAAAAGATCAAATCTGTGGGCAAATTATGCTACAAGCTCTAAAATGAGACAAAACAGGACTGTGCAGAAGTCTTAGCTAACAGTATTGTTAGTGTTAAAATCTTTGTGTCATCAGAAATGACACGCGTGGCAACAAGAAACAAAGACAGAAAAATATCCTGAATAGTTAAAAATATTCAAAAATTAGTTGAAATAAAACGTTTTTACAAATGGCATATTCTATGCATCAAGAAATCAGTGCAATGATTCAAGAGAGCCACCTAGAGGCCATGATGGAAATTACGGCATCATCACTTCAACCACACCAGGGTTATGATATCTGTTTAAATTGTTTTTAGTTATTTTACAGCTTTATTTTGTTGTGAGTTTTTGTTTGTCTGCTTCAATAAATTTTAGTGAATTCTTATGGTATGTTGCTTAGTTTATAAACAACAACTAAATGTTGCTTAGTGTCTGTTTAGCTTCTACTAATTACAGGAGTAGTTTTTGTTTTTCATACTTTGGTTCATTTTTAAGTGCAGAATTCAAAGAGGTCAAATTATTGATTATGTATAATGAATACTCAACAGAAAATGCCATTTTCAAAAAAAACAAAACAAAAAAATTCAATGTCTTCCAACTTTTGCTGTCGCTAATCTGTGGACTAAGTGCCGCCATGGAGGAGTATGGAGTGCCGTAATTTGCTGACATCTGATGTGAATTGCTTGTGTGAAGGGTAAAAAAAATCTATTTCACATCAGTTAGAATGGCTAATTAATAAAATTAAATAAAATTCATGAATTAGTCAGTTTAGTTCCTGTTACTTATTATTTCAGTAAACAAAAAATGTTTTCTCAATTTCAGTTTTTGTTATTTTGTTAATTTTAGCTAAGTATAATAACTTTGCAGCACACACTCTTTGACTTTCGGTAGAAACATTATTCCCGTTTCTGTCGCTCAGCTTTCTTCTGACTCTGACTAGTCCCACTGTGCTTCAAGAACTCAATTATTCTATCTGCTTGTTTTTTAATTAGTCTTTGATTTTATTGAGTGATGTTAACATGCACTTTGGTTCATCCATGTTTCCTTTTGGGCAGCATGTCAAGATGCATTTTTCCTTTCATTCCCTGGGGTGCAAACACACAAAATGGAAAGCTCCAGACGGTTTCAGACAAACAACCGAAGCTGCTCTCAGATCTGACCACAGCAGCCGTCGCTCCAGGTTAAGAAGTTTCTCTCCCTCAGTCGGGACTTTGAGGGAGGACTGTAGGTACAGAGGTAGAAAAAAGGTGACAAAAAATAACGGGAACACTCCAAAGTCTGCAGCCAGACCTTTGAATCTGAATGTTCTTCATGTGGCACTGGAAAATTCAGGATTGTCTCCTACTGGGAAGTGTCTCACACCAATAAGGAGTTCTCATTCTCACTCCATCTGTGTCATGATTGGTTTCCCGAGCAACAAAACACATATCTCACAGGAAAACAATGTGAAAAAGAAGACTGGCTAGGTGAGACCAGATTCCTGTGGTCTTTCCAAAAATAAATCCCGTCAACCCTCTCTTGAAGTTTTTACAGAACTGCCTCAAAGGCAGATGACAGCCGGACAAACCAGGCTGCCACAAGTTTTATCTGTCAGTGCAGGGTGGAGAAAAATGTCTTTGGAGATTCAGGAAGAACAGACAAACCTTCAGAGAGACCAGGAGAGATGTGAATGCTAATTACGAGTCAAACACTGAAACCGGTTTTTGAAGTACAGGAGGCCGTTTTTTGTACGTGTGGCGTCAGAGGAAGCCGGGGGGTAGCGAAACTTGGCGTATGTCTTGTCGCTTTCTGACTGTGTGACCCATGGTAGTTTGATTTTGGTTGCGTGATTGATGATGACGTCATCACAGGAACCAACGTGGAGAGATCCAAGGCCATCGATGAAAAACTCTAAAAAAGAAGAAAAGAGAACTCAGAACATCGAATCATTCATCATTTTGGTTTGTCTTTTCAATCACATCACATATTTCTATATGTGATAGTAAGCAGATTTGCTTAACTACATATTATTATGCTACAAAATTAAAGTGTCCAATCTTCTCTTGTATTTTCCTTAATCTGTAAATCCTAAATGTAGCAGCAACAATCCAGCCAAAGTTGCAGTACCGTAATTCCGCCACACGTAGCGCTATCTGAAAAATTCCAACTGTTCCTCAAAGGGGAGACGTTGCACTTTTAATCCAATCTCGGGTTATTATGGTAATTTCACCCTCGCCGTAGCAGCGAGTGAAATTAATTTGAGGGACAATATTTTAATAGACGGTAAATTGCGAAAATAACTTGCTAGATATTGAAAGTTCCAGTTGCTAAGGATAAATGGGCAAATATATTTACTCACAGGAAATTGAAAGAACTGCGTACAATTAAAATAAGCAAAAACATCCAGGCGGGGATTTAAAACTTAGGTCTTATAGGGCTAAATATCCAGGCGGACTTTTTAAATTTTGGACGTAAAGGGTTAAATGCCACGGTTTTGTTTTGTAATTTATGCCACTTCCTGAAGTATTTTCATCTCTTTGTACTGATTGGTTCTTCTGTATCCTAGGAATACTGTGGTTCAATGAAAACAATCAGTATGTGACGCTGGGATCGTTTACACTTTCAATCTTTAAAGTAGTCGTGTGCATGTTATTAACATACTTTGTTAAAGACACATGAAATTTTTTCCCTCTAAGTGTTTCGTACATGATGTGCTGAAGCGTCACAGTGGCAGCAAGTACAGATATTTCAGATCTTATGTCAGATTTTTTTTTCATATACCATATTTTCCGGACTATAAGCCGCTACTTTTTTCCTAAGCTTAGAGCCAT